TAAATATGCGCACAGATACTTCCGGGATGTTGGCATTTATTACTGTCTATAAACGGTGCATTAGTAGGCGTACGCAAACGTATATTTATGCAAATTTTTTTCGTAATATATTGCTTAGTTTATTCATTAATGCCTTGATTATTCACTATTTTCTGCCTGCTGCTGCATTTGGAGTTTGAAGTTGAAACTAGCTATTAACATCTAAATAACAATTCATTAGAGACGAGTATGGGATAGTTCAACTGTCCCGCCCCACTGGACCCTTCAATAACCCGTTCTTCCTCTCGGAGCATAAATTAGGTGTCCCTCACTGGTAAGTATATATAATCCTTGTGCAGGCCCTATGGACAGATACATGTCGATTCCCAAGTGACTGTGTGTATATCATTGACTGTATATCTGTCGCGCGCAACGCGGCGGACAAGGGTAGGTATTTCTCCCTTGATGCGAACAGTTCACGCTTGTACTACTATAGATGTAAACTGGATTCGTGCGCCAAAGGAAAGAAGATTTCATAATGCACGTTCCATGTAGAATATACATTTTTGATCTGACGTCGTAAGTTTGAAGTTATCTGAAGGAATTTAAATATATAGCACATCAATTCGGTTCCCTGCTTCGCGTGGAGCTGAATTTTAAACCCACAGCTTTAGTCCTTTTGTACTGTTTTGCTGTGATATTGTCCTCAACTTTATCTTGATTGTGAAGTGATTTTGCTTACTTTTTCTTTTTAGTCTATACATCAATGTCTACCGATAGCGAGGATAAGTCCTATAGGCCTCAACTCCAAATCTTATTATGACGTTGCCGAATAAATACGAAGCTCTCGGGATAGGTGGTCACCTCGTTATCTCAGGCCTCCTGCTATCAAATGTTGGCTGTCCTTTTGAGCGCCCCGGACGTGAGTTTGTTCTGAAAGTAAGCCTCTTGTCGCTTTATTTATTATATCATTTAACATCTCCTTCCAGGGCACTAAGCGAGCTCACGATAGCAGCTGTGCGCACCTTCAAAGAGCTTCTCAGGACGTATAAAGACGTACATACACCCGAACTTCGAAAGTATACGGCGCAGCCGGAGAGCAGATTCAAGGGTGATTCACAAAGCTGTGCATTCGATGCCAGCTGTACCTGTTTCCAGAGACGAGCAATTGTCAGCGGCGGTGAGATTGAAGCCAGGTTGAGGCTTGCCAGTTTTCTGCTGCTCCTGTTTTGTCCTGACTGGCACACAGCTTGGAATTTCAGGTAAGCCGCTCGCCATATATCTTGTCGTTATTAACGTTCTTGAATATGTATGCTATCAGATCCTACACTCTCGTATACGCTTTGCTTGTGTGCTGCCAAGTTGAAGGGGAAAATACGATACAGGTTAACCATATTCGATAGCAATATTTTCTGAGGACAGAATGATTTATGTTATAGATGTGTGAGATCAATTTTTAGCTCCAAAGTCGCTTGCGAGTCTCTGCATGTACGAACACACATATATATTATATTTATATATATATATATATGTATATATATATATACATATATATATATATACATGTATGTATGTATGTATGTATATATATATATATATATATATATGTATATATACATATATATATATGCATATAGATGTATGTATACATTCAGACTGAAGTTTGATATTTATGAACTCACAATTATGGATACTAGCGCAAACGTACATATACGAATGCATACGAATAATCGACGAATACAAGCCAAAATAAAATTATCGCTGCGAGGGCTAATGTATGTACGGTACACATCACACCTCTTCATCTCCAGGAAAGCTCAATTGGTCGACTTAAAGATTGATGTGAGTAGTGAGCTTGGTTTGACGACACTCATTCTCCGTAAGCACCCCAAGAGTGGATGCACCTGGCAACACAGGTATCTTGCCTCTGCCGAATGACTTGATTGACTTGCCAACCATTAGCGTAGCACAATACCACCTCATTTGAATTCACAGTAATTCGCCCAAATGTTTATTTCGTAGACGATTCCTGATGAAGTTGTTACGGAGACACGGGCCCCTGCAACCACACGACTATGAGCGTGAATTCGCGGTGTGTACAAGGGCAGCCGACGCATACCCCAAGAACTACATGGCGTGGAATTATCGCCGTCTGGTCCTGGGCTTAAACACTCATGGAGGGATCTGTTCGGAAGAAGTGCTGATGACCGAGCTTGCTGCATCGGATGTGTGGATGCAGTCTCACATAGGAGACTATTCGGCGCTGAGATACAGAGCACTGCTGTTAAAGCTCATCTCCTTCAGCTGTCGGAATACGAAGCAACGGACAAAAGGTCAAGAGAAAGACCAGGACGTGCTTCAAAACGTTAAACAGAGCGATTTGAGCTCTCAGGGTCTTCACCGACTGGAGGTTGAACTGACGAGTAATCAATCACAAATACACTTCTACTCCGGCCATGAAGCCCTTTGGGTGTATCGCAGAGATCTACTCGACATATGTCAAACGCTTCTTCCAAAGACACGTAAGTTGGTTGTGAACATGCTAACCTTGATCATCGCTAAGTCTGTAGCTAGACCTGCTACCCGTGTTATGTGAGTATTCAAACACGCCTTCCAATGTCAGCTGAGTTGGTCGTGAATATGTCAGCTTTGTCGTTCAGTCTGTAGCTAATGATGATGCCTGCGTGTGTTAGATTGATAGCGCGTAGCATTCTGTGTATACGGTCGCATGCAGATGGGCGCTCGAAAGCCACAATCGGTGAGTACTCATACCAACAATCCGTTTTGTTTTCCAGACATGACAGCAATGCTCGCAGACGAAGCAGATTGGGTGCAATGCCATAGTGGTGCAGAATCCACCAAGAACATCGAAGTCACATCAGGAGGAAAAGTTAGTCATCCAATTACCGGTGTCGCTGTGAACAGTGAGAGCGACCGCCAACAATTATTCGCACGTCATTATTTGCAGAACATACTTTGGTACACGGCACGCGCAGTTGAGTGACCTCCAACATCAATAGCTTAAATGTGCTTTTGAATACGCATTAAGAGTTTGAGTAAGTTTGATCCCATTTGCATGCCGTGTATGCTGTGACACTCACAGCATGCATTTGACAGAACTTCTTCCATCTATTGGAAGACTGATGGGCTGCCGCAGCACAGGAAGCTCTTTCCATCGCTGGAGGTTGTTGAAGCTCCAGGGGGAGCTTTTTGTATACTCTCTTTGCTAGTTGCATTCACTGTCTGCAAGGTCGCACGGGGATCGACCATATTCAGTATTAGCAGTGCTATATCAACTGCACCCAGCATATCAACAGCTAAGAAGCAACGGATAGCTGCCGAACGAATCAATTCATTTGTGGCGATATTGAAGTCTTTAGATGTTCAGGCGGCATCGCCACGCAAATATAACGTCGAGGCGAAATCACAAGGCGAAATCACAAATTCGGCTGTACCCTAACTGCAACTCTCCTGTGACGAGTATGGCTCCCAGTGAGCGTTCATAAAAAATGCACTAGATTCTATTCCAAGGAAATCCTCCTTTTTGGTGGTTCGAAACCGGAGTTTGGGTAGCCAGAAAGTCATCATGTCTCAGCCCGACAAGCGACAATCGTGCGTGGCGTGCCTTGTATATTATTTACTCGTCTGCTAGGCCGTGGTCCGCATTGCTATCAACTTTCCAACCCCTCTCGGCAACTGTGATCGCGAATGGTCAATTCTCACAATCACAACACTTACGCCATGTAGACTGGGTTTAATGGATCGTAGTAGTTAAAGGGCTGGAGAGATCGCAATCTCGATATTCAAAATCGCTGAGAAGGTTCTTGATGGAGAATGGTGGTGGCGTACACTAAATATATTCTGTTACGAGAACTGAGCTTGGCGAGCCCCCGTCACATAAGTCTGAAGGATACACGTATAGTGCCATGATGAAACTTTCGCTGATGAATTTCAATCATGCTAATTCAAATCTTAGCAATGCCAAGATAGTATCAGTCTTCAGATATTGTAATCGTGGTGGAGCAATGACATTAGTTTTCAAGGCGCGCGTCTTATGTAATGTTAGCATATGCAACAGTAGCAAGAAGATATTTTGGAGTGTAGCAAGAAGATGTTTTGGAGCATCAAGATCTGATGGGTGTTCTCATGAGCACATCCCACTCGTCCTGAAGCGACTGTTTCTCTCTCAGCAAGATATCTAGATTGGCCTGCAATCCGACTTCCTTCTGTGCTGCTTCCACCGCCTTTTGCTCCATCTCCTGCAATATACGTAGCGAAGATTAAATCAAAGAGCAAGATTCCTAGTCATTTACAATTTGTATCAATGCGTATGCCCTTGACATAGGATTTTAACTTTCATTCGCGAGTATTTATGTAAAAGATTAAGTTACAAGTCGCATAACATACCAATAGCTCTTCTCGCCGTTTCTTCCGAAATCTGGCTGTGGCAGCCGAATTTCTATCCTTTTTAGCTGTAAAAAAATAAGACCGGCCAACGGCATGAGTATGTATAAATAAACTGGGGAATATCAACCAATCATGCTCGAACAACGTGAAAGAATAAGCCCAGGCATACCTTGTTCCGGATCCACAGGTTCTTGTTGTGCCTTCTGGGCAGACACAATTGCGACTGACATCTCCTTCGACGGTAATGGTAGCTTCATTCTGCCCGCTGTTGAACAAATATTCCACCAATGGAGTAAGCGCAACCATCAACAACGAAAGATTTCACCGTCACAACCAACCCTTCAGTAAGTCCCATTTGCCAATACCCACCTACCTAGCATATTTGCACTATCACTAGGATGATTCATCGCCGCTGCCGTGAGCAAAGCTAGAGACATGTTGTGCACAGGCACTCCGGGAGGCATCATCGGGGGAACAGCCGGTGAGTTCAACAGCATTCCGTTCTGTGACGGTGTCCCGTTAGTATTCCTCAAGACATTCGTTGTTGGCGTGCTCGTGTTTTCTGCAGAGACATGGCTCGATCCTGATTGCTCCTAATAAGGTGATCGACAGAATTTCGGTTGAGAGAAGCCGGAACTATATGAAACAAAATATAGAGTGGTTAGTGGTGGTATTGTAAGGGAGTTATTGGTATTGTTCTATCCCGAATTACATACGGGAGTGGGAAACGAAACCAATAAAGGAAAGCAAACAAAAGGATAGTCCTCTAGGGCTTTGAAGCAGAAAGAGCACATCTTCACTACATACAAAATTCACAGAGGATGAAGTTTAGAGCTATCTAGAACATAGCACAATGAACTACACGCATATGAACTTCACTGATATAGATATGTGAGGCTCCAATTTCTTTTCCAGGGACTGTCGTACATACAACTCAATCACGTGAAAGGGGTAAACCATTCACGCCGAAAATGCTAGAACAACTAGAAAGTACAAAAATAGTACACAGACATAAACTATACACATGCACCGCACTATCTAATATATACCCATTAGGTATATATGTAAATAATTGTCAGACTCCTTTTGAGAGCGTATGACGGAAAATACTCGATAAGATGAATGTTAGATATTAGTCCGGCATTACACGATCATCTCCCAGAGCCAATCTTAGAACGCACAGCATGTACGTAGAGTCCCGCCGTATAAATTTCCATTGTAATGGCACTAAACACAAAAAAGCAAAAAAAAACTTTGATACTTACAGACATATCATTGTTGTTCAACCACGGGAATGTTGGTGCTATTTGGAAGGGATCCACGGCTAAACCAGAAGCATTTATTTGGGGATACAGTGACGGCATGCTTTCGATGTGCAGATCCATCCCCTGTAGCCAATCTAGGCTCCCACTGAATGTAACAAGATCAAATTACAACAAAATTCGGAATACCTTCGTTAATGAACGTAAAGGAGACAGTCAGTCACGTATCTGAGTGCAGCAAGCCAGATGGGATTCGCACAATGCAGGAAATGTATGTAAAAACACAAAAGACAAAACACTCATCATCAACGACACGT